TAGTTATTTGTTTCTTTAGTAGCTTGTGTGTCTGCAGAAGTGCGTACCTTTCTTCTCTGATGAACTTTGTTCAGCAGGGTGGGAGGTACAAGGACACATGCCAGGACACTTGACGGTAATCTTCTTTCCTGTGATGCATGCCTGGTAGTCTAGCTTACACTGATCAAGAGTAAGAGACAGAAGCAGAAGAATTGTACTGTGTCAAGAGGAAATGAAAATAAGTGACTTGAGTGTAGGGCAAAGGGAGTGGTTGGACTGAAACTAAGCTGAAACTATTCTGTTTGTTTTCTATTAGTTTGTTTTGCTTTATTAGTTACCATCATTATTTTTTAATGCAAATAATCGTGTAAATCAGCAGTGAATAAGATAACTGGCTGTCAGAAAACTGTCAATCTCAAATGTTTCAGTGCAGCTATGCAAATGCCACTTTATAAATGTTGTCTGGCTTGTTTTGGCAGCATGATGGATTAGTGCTTAGCACTGTGGCTTCACAGCAACAAGGTACTGAGTTGGATCTGGGGGGGTCTTTCTGCGTGGAGTTTGCATGTTCACCTCTTCTTMGCGTGGGTTTTCTCTGGGTACTCTGGTTTCTTCCCACAGTCCAAAAACMTGCATGTTTAGGCTGCCTTCAGGCCCAGGTCTCCCTTGCAAAGGAGATCTGTGATCTCAGTGGGATTTGCTTTGGTAAATAAATGGTAATATTAATAATATTAATAATATATCATTGTTAGTTTTGGTTTAATCATAATTCACAGAGAAATCTGTGGTTATTTTGGCAGCTGCAGCTAGCTGTATGGCTTCCCATGCAGTCTGGGGAACATCCTGTGGGAATATTGTCATATTTCTAATTTGTAAAAGTTGTTTAAACAAARCAATAATCATAAAATGATTACTGTTTTGAAATCATATTTGCCTGAAGTGCTTTGAATTTTTATAGACTTGAGTTTGGCAGTAATCTACTTTGTTCTTGGCCCTTCTCAGACTAGATGTTAGCTCCTTACTCTGGTCAGACTATTTCTCCAAATTGGGGTTGTCTACAGTGCCACATACATGCC